TGCAAAGCACGCATTAACGCTTCCGAAATGAAGGCCTTCTTTGTCGGGGCGGCGGCCGGCGCCCGGCCTGCCTTTCATCTCGATAATTAATGTTTGAAAAAGCGCTTGCTCCTCCGCGATCGAGGCTCGTCGAGGGCGGCGCGCCGGTCGGTCTGTGTTGCTCGCCGCGCCGCTGCTCCGCTGCCCCGCTAGGCCCGGGGAGAGAGGCAAGAAAGCAAGTATTTGTCTTTATCGTTGCGCACGCGGCCACCACAGGGTACCACAGTGCGATCCACAGTGGCACCACGCACGCCGCCGTCGGCCTGCTTCGTGTTATCGGCGAGGCGAGGCGGCAGTGTGCGGCCCATGGCAGTGTGGCGGACGGACGCGGCCGGAAATCGGGGTGGCGTGATGTGGCGCGTGTCGCGGCGGTGGCCCGCGTCGCCGTGCCCACCGCCCACCCCGGGCCGGGTCGGGCCGGGCGCCCCGAGCTCAGTCCGAGAGTCTCTCTCGCACTCGTGGGGCGCACCGTCTGGGCGCGAGAGAGACAGTCTGCTGGCCCAGCGCTGGCCGTGCGCTCCGATGCAAATTGCCGACTTCCGCGTCTGGTTCCCATCGAGGGGTGATGGTCGGGCCGCCGACGCGTGTCCGCGACGTCCGCGCGTGTCCATAGTTCCCAGTTTGTCTAAAAATAATGCCCGATGGCAGAACACCTCGGAGCGTCGCGGAGCGCGTCGCGGAGCGCGTTCCCCGCGTGGCGGCGGTCGACGCGGTGGTTCGCGCGCCGTGGTGGCGGGCCTGGCGGGCCTGGCGGGCCTGGCGGGCTGCTTGTCGTTCACCTCGTGTTTGGCGGGCGCCGCGTCGCGGTGCCGTCGGCGCCGTTTTAATCTTGTCGAGTCGAGCGATTCCGAAGAGTTGTTTTCGTCGCTCTGTCTCTCTCGCACCCCTGAGGGACGCCCCGCGAGTGCGGCGGAGAGGGACAGAGCGACCCCCCGGCACCCCCCGGCCGACGCGCGCGTCGCGGCTTGCCGTTGGCTGCAATTATTTGCATTGTTTCGCTCTGTGTTTTGATGCTTGTTGACGACGGGAGGCGTCTTGCTGGGTTGCCGAGACTGCGCCATTTTCTCCGGGTTTTTTGCCTTCTCTCTTTTTGTTTTTATTCCCCGCCGTTTCTGCACACGTTGGCTGCTGCCGGCCCTTGGTGGCGGAGCGTGAAGCGCGAAGCCTTGACATTGGATCAGGCGGCCGGGCCTGCCGGGCCTGCCGGGGCGGAACGTAGTGCGTGTTGGGTCACCGGGCGGCTGGGCTGCAGGGCCGGCAGGGGGACGGACGTCGTGATGGTGGACCAACGAAACTTGACTTCCTGGGAACCGAACGGCTCATCGTCCAGCCAAGCGTCGCCCCCCCCCTCGCCGCTGCGGCCCTGCTGGAGGCGGCAGGGGGGCTGACGGGGAAGGGGGAGGGGGGTTGCGGCCAGACAGCTGACCTTCTGAAGGGCGCGGCGGGGCCGGGCCGGGCCGGGCCCGGTGTAGTACAGCCAGGCTCAGCCGAACGCCCGACTATGTGTGTGTGTGTGTGTGTCCGCGTGCAGACGATACAATTATTGCAGGGGCAGGGGGAGTGGAGGACGCAGGGGGGCAATATGACTGGCGATAAAAAGGCTGGCTCCGAGGCGACCCCGCGTCCTCTGACGTCCCAAATTATTTTGTGTCGTTGGCGTCTGCAGCGCGCCGGGCAGACAGGCGCAGGGAGAAGCGGCAGGCTGTGCTGTATCGCGGTATCCAGCCAGACAGACAGCCAGTCTGCCGCATATGCATTGGCCCCACGTGTTCGAAGCCGAAGTGCACAGCATCTGGCGCTTCTAGCGGCCCTCAGGCCTGGCTTGGCTGCCGTGCCAGGCTGCCCTGCTGGTCAATGCTAAACAGACGCTTGAGCTGGTTGCTCTTTCGGCGCCGAGGGGCGTACGTAGAGCGCCGCAACGCGCGTATCGTACCGGCCGGGCGCTTGGAATATAACTGTCTAAGCGGCCTGGCGGCGCGAGGCGCGAGGCGAGGCGCGACGCGCGATGGATAGGCGGCGTCCATCATGTCGTGGTGGGCTGCTGCGCGCCGCGCCGCGCCGGGCTGTTCCAGAGCCGTCGCTCCGTCTCTCTCGCACCTGCACGCGGCGCGCCATGAGTGCGAGAGAGACGGAGCCTGCTGGTGGTGGAGGCACGCGTCGCGGAAATTAATTTCCTCGGCTCGCATTCCACGACTGGCGCCTCGTGGCTGCCGCGGCCGCGGTGTGGCGTGTGGCGCGCCGCTATGACGGCACGTGACGGCGGGGCGGGGCGGGGCGGGGCGGTTGGAGAAGCTCCGGGCCGGCCTCGACGTCGCGTCCGGCACCTCAGGTCGGTCGCCTCGCCGCGCCCGTTCGGCTATTTCCACTGCCTCACAAAAAATGTAGGGATTTAGCATGTCTAGCTCGATTTCTAGAGGTTGGGGGACGTATATCCAGCTTACCGCTGCGCCATGCTGCGCCTGGGCTCGTTTTTTTGTCGGCTTCTTTTCCTCGGGCTGCGCCAGGCTGCGCGGGCTGCGAGGTGTCGTCGGCGTGCTGGGCCGCAGGGAGGACCACGGCGGGCCGGCTGCCCCTCCGCGTCGAGGACGGGGATCAGGGCGGCATGCAGTCTTGACCGTAAATCGCCGGGGATGCGTCTCCTTTGTGCCCCGATATATTGGACACCACTGGGGAATTTTCCCCCTGGGAAAAAAAGGGGGGGAGAGCCGCTGCGCCGTGGTCCCGCCGCGGTTTCTCGTTTGGAAAGTGAGAAAAAATTAAGACGGTACAGCTTGTTGCGTTCCGAGGCGTGATAACGGCGTAACCGATGCACTCGGAGTGGGGTCGCAGGTTTTGAGAGTTGCGGTTTTAAGCCCCTCGGTCAATCGTGTCAAGTTCTCGCTCTGGCGTGCGGATGGCGCGGCATCGCGCGCCGAAGGGTTCCCCTCAAAATAACCAAGTCTAGCGCTGTGGGACCGCAAGGCGCCGTCGTGGCCGCCCCGCCCCACCCCGCCCCACCCCGCCCCGCGACACGAAGCAGCATCTTGGTTTGTAGGTCGGCGGGGCGGGGCGGGGCGTGTCCGGCGGCCTTGGTGCAGTGCGCGCTGCGCGGCGCTGCGGCGGGCCGTTGACCCCCCATTCCGCCATTCCATTCCGCCATGCGACGCGCAACGCCCCTAATCCCTCGGGCTGCGCGGCGCCGCGACGCCAACGGACTCGCCTGCGGGGCGGGGCGGGGTGGCCGGCGCCGAGTTCCCAGCCGCGCTGCGGCTACGGTGGAATCTCCCCGCTGTCCGGCGGTGCCTGGGCTGCCTGCGCTGCCTGGGCGGTGCACTGGCAGTGGTCCTCGCGCTATCATCGGCGAGGCAACCCACTCGCGGGCCAGTTGCCGACGGGTTGGGCTGGCGTCCCTTTTCTTGGAGCGGCGTTGATAAAATGCTTGAGACTCTTGACGAGGGGATAAACACTTTGAGGAATAGCGTACGGACTACTCGGTCCGAGGGGTGAATCATTGCCCTACTCATGTGTATAAATTGGCCTGTGTACTCACAAGTTTAAATTTATCAAAATAAGCTAGTTTTAAGGACGGTTTGGTGTTGCGTATTGTCCGGTCTGCTGTGCACATACGCTTTGCAGCGGACAGCCAGGCCGAACCATGGGCCCAACCATGGGCCGAGATATGGGCCGAGCGCGGTGGAGGCGTCCCAGTGCGTAGGTCCTCACAGTCTTCGCGCCCTTCCCCGCAGGCGGGGCGGGCTGCGCAGGCCGCCACCGAGGCCCTCGTCCGCCCTCGTCGTGGCGCTGGCGCTGCGCTCCTCCCTCGCGGACTGATTACCCGCCGCGTGCTTCCGGGCGGAACAGGAGGGCTCCGCGGCAGACTGACTCCGAGAGTCGTTTCCGTCGCTCTGCCTCTCTCGCACTCATGGCGCGTCCCCTGTCGGTGCGAGTGAGACAGAGCGACGACTCTCTCTCAGTCTGCTGCTCCGCCACCGCGTCGCGGCCGGTCGCGGCTGGGGTGGTCGAGGCTCGAGGCGCCGCAAATTGGGCTCGAGGGGCACGGGCTTGGCGCGGGCCGACGTCCCCGCCATCCTCGTCGCCGTCGGCTCGAGGCATCCGCGCTGATAAGCGCCGCTCGGGGCAAGGTGCAAACGAGCGGCCGTGTTTTGTTCCTTGGCGTCGGCGCCGAGGCGCGGGCCGCGGACTCTGCTCTGACGTGCTCGCGGCCACTCGCGAGGCCCGGCCCGGCCCTGCCGTGCCCTGCCGTGCCCTGCCGCGCCCCGTGGGTACCTGGTTGGTTACTGGACCGGACGCCGGCCCGGCCCCAGGCCCGGCCCCAGGCGCGGCCTCAGCACCTCGATGATAGCCGACTTGACATTCCACCGCGATGGATATCTCTGCTTGCTATGCTTGTGCGGGCCGCGCACCGCGGACACTCGACCATTGTCCCTTGCCATCCGCGGCGCGCGGCCGCGCGACCTTGCCGACCTCGAGGACGCGCTGCCCCTGCCGCTCCGCCGCGCTCCGCCGCGCTCCGCCGCGCTCCGCCGTGGCAAGGGAAGGCCTCTTTTTCTTCGGCGTAGGTAAGGGCTCCTGTTTGAGGGTCCGCGGCTGGCTGTTTTGCACTGTGTGATGTTTTCTCCCGGGAAGGAAGGGTTGTTTGTCGAAGAATGGCCATGTTGCTTCGGGAAGAGGCAAGTGGCTGATGGAGAGGGCGGCACACCTGTGTCGATGGCGCGGGTGTTTGACCTCGGCGTGCGTGCCGTGCGTGCCGCCCCGCGCTGCGGTCCTGCGCCTCGCCCTCCGCTCATGAACATGTATGTGTGCTTAGGGCCGCGCGTTGAAAGTCCAGCCTTGAACCGCCGCGGCCTTCCACGCCGCTCCGGCGAAGCGCTTCGGACTGAATCGCGAACGAAGAAGGAACGATAACGCGACCATTTTTTGCCGAGGGAGTGCATTTCATTTCCTTTCCTTTTCTGTTGCAGTGTGGGGCGTGCTAGCCGTCCTCTCTCTGGCCTTCGTCGTGCTCGGCGCCGTGGGCGTGGTGTCGTGCCTCGTGAGCCAGCAGCGCCCCGTCGGCCCCGTTGGTATGGGGGGAGAACCCCCCCACTCCACGCTACCCGTAAGTAAACCCCCTCGCCCCTCGCCCCTCGCCCCTCGCCCCTCGCCCGGAGAGGCGGGGGCGCGGCCTGCAGGCTGATTCGGAGTCGGAGGCTTCTCCCGCGCACACTTGGGTGCGAGGGAGAAAGTCCGCGCTGGGAACCAGTCTGCCGGTGCCCTCAGCGCCAACAGCGCTCTCGTCGTTTTGTCTCCCTCGCACTCACAGGGCTCCCCTGCAGGGTTGGCGGGTTGCTTTGTCATTGTCTCCCGCTCTGCAATCTCGCCCGCCTTTGCCCTCCAATGTGCAGCTTGCGTGCGTTTGCAAACAAGGCTAGTGCACTTCGGGTGGAGAGGTGTTCCGGCACACTGGTTGAACATGCGCCGCGCCTGCCGCAGGCTTTGCAGAGTTGGGTCTTCAGGGTTCTCGGTTCTGTACTCGGGGACGCATCTTCGCTCAGCCAGGCGTCGGTCGGCAGCAGTGGACGCGCGGAGTGCTCGCCGTTGGACGCAGAGCCGGTCGCAGTTAGCGATCGCACCGGCCGCGGCGTGGCGTGGCGGTGGAGCGCGTTGTGGTCCCTACGCGCCCTTTCGCAGGCCATTATTCATCCCCCCTCCCCCCCTCCCCCTTCCAGCCGCGGCGGCCGGCAGGACAGGCTTTGCACATTTGGCGTCTGGGACGGGCCGACGGGCTGCGGCGAACCGGTCGGCGCGTTGCAGGCGGGGCGGGGCGTTGCAGGGCCCCGCTGCAGCGTATATATACGTATCAAGCATGCACCGTTGAAAATAAATGAGACAGAACGGGCCTGTCTGGAAACTGAAGAGTGGTCGATATCTCGTCTCGGCATCGACCGACTGAATAACTCGCGCCAAATTGTAAGAAGAGGCGGAGGGGCAAGGATGCGCGAGGTCCGGGCCGATGCTGGCGGCCAATTTATGGACGCCCCCCAAGCCTCGCATTATCTGACGCCGTCCCGGCCATTCCGCAGGTGCAAAAGGGCATTGGCAACGATAAATCGCTTCGGCCCGCCGCGCAGCGAGTGCGTCCGCGCGTTCGCGGCCCCACTGAGCGTCGCCAGGGCCGATTTATGGGGGGGGGGGCGTCCGAAATGACGTTTTGCGACCACTTTCGCTGGTGGTGGGTCGCAGCGCAGACGGTCGCAGGCTCTCATTTTTACCGCGGATGAGACCGCGGATCAGCTCGAAACGCATCTCGCATTTTGGCTTTGCCGCCTCCACTGGTCTTCCGGCCCACTGCGCCCCCCCCCTCCCCGCCTGCATTATTTGCCTCAATTAGGGCGCACCGCCTCCACTCCGGTGTTCCCTCCATACCTAGTAGAAGACCCAGCCCCTCCCCGCCCCGGCGCTGGTCTTGACTAACAATGGTCTCGTCAGCGCGCAAGCACCCCGCCCCGCCCCGCCGCGCCACGCCCGCCGCCGCCACGCCCCGCCGCCGCCACGCCCCGCTAGTCCGGGGGTTGGGGTCCGGCGACGTCGTCGCTGTTGGTCGCAGACGCTGTCCAATTGAGGGTGCTCCGGACGCTTGTCGCCGCTTGTGCTGCCATGTTGACGTCGTGCCGGCCGCCGCCGCCGCCCAAGAAAAACGTGTCTCTGGAGGGCCGGGCCGGCCGCCCAAACAAAGCCTATTTTAAACGCCACTCCCAAGCAACGCGAAGCAACGCCACGTCCACGACGACGGGGTGACGCACTGCATGGCCTGCCTGTACCACGCTCTACGCTCTACCTGTCTCTCTTGCACCCGCGCCGTATGCATCGTGCATGACTTCCACTGTGCAGGTGCGCTGGATTATCCATTGGCTCTGCTGATTCCGGAACAGGCGGGCCCCGACCGTCTCTCTCGCGCCCCAGGTAGACGCCTCGTGAGTGCGAGAGAGAACCTGATCTGTCTGGTGGCTGTCGTGGTGCGTGGGCGTGCGCGGTGGGTGACGGAAGCCGGAGAAGGCCCGCCCCGCCCTCGCCCCCGTTGACGTGGCCGGCCATCGCCGTCTCCAAAGCGCCGCGGCGGGCCGGGTAGGGCCGGGCGGCCCCCCAAACGGCCACAACCGCGAGGTGGGGGGTGGCGACGGGGCCGCCGTGGCCGTCTAGACCTGTTTTTTACCGGGAAGGCGACCCCTTTATCGCGGCCATTGGCCTGCGACCGGACGGCGGGCCCCGCCCGGGGTCTCTCTGCCCCGGAGACCCTGGAGTGAGGGGCGTCTGCTGGTGCAAACGTGGGTTTGGGGCGTGCCGGGCCCTGCAAGCCTGAGGGCCCGCGCCCGGCCCCGCACTCTGCGGGGCATGCATGTCTCCGGCCCCGCGGCGAGCCGGGAGGGCTGGGCGGCCTCAGGCCCACGCGTGGTGGCGCGGCGCGCCGTCCGGGGGGCCTTAAACTTCCGGGAAGGCGCCGCCTCCCCCGGCCAGCCGGGCGTCTCTCTCGCACCCTGGGGGGGCGACGCGCGCACCCTGCCTAACTGGAAATGCCGTCTGCATATGCAAACGGATTCTCAGTACCCCTCCGGCACATCTTCATAATGCAAAGAAATTGCCGAAATGGCGAAGAAAACGGCTAAGTCACTCTAGTCCCCCTCCCGTACGCTACCTTCGGTGCTTATTACTGGCTTTTGTTCGTACCCGGCAGCATGCCTCGTCGCATCCATGGGAGTGGGGAGAGAGACGGAGTGACGAGCAGTGCTCGCAATCAGCCTGCAGAGCGCCGAAAACGACTCCGACGCCGCCGGCCGCCCATTCTTCGCCGACGACCGAAAACGGCGGCGCTTTGCAGTGCCGTGCACTGTCCGTCTGCGCGTCCCTCCCCCGCCCCTTTCCCGGTCGCGCCGATCAATCAGCTGACTGACTCCGAGAGTCGTCTGCGTCGCTCTGTCTCGCTCGCACTCACGGGCCGTCCCCGATGTGTGCGACGGAGAAGACTCTCGGAAGCAGTGTGCAGGCGGCGAAGCACGCGAGGCTCGCACTACTCGCGCTCAATAATGAGTGGCGTCATGGTGGCGTCACCAAAGTGGTCGGATGTCAAAAATGTGCTTCCGCTGGCGGTCTTTGCAGAGGGCTGTCCGGCCGGCACGCCATTTTGGCAGTGTAGCAGCGACTGGCGGTGGTCAGGCCGCGAGCCGCGACGCGACGCGCTGCCGTGACGTGCCGTGACGTGCCGTGACGTGCCCTGACTGACGTGCAGCGCGCCGTCCGATAGCGGCGTGGCCGAATGGCTGGAGCGCTAGAGACGGCCGCCGTCGGGAGGGAAGGACGAAGGACGCTCCTTCCGCGCCGGCACCGAATCATTCATTTAGGCCTGGGGAGGGCCGTGTGTACACAGTATGGTAAACGTGTCGCCCGCACGGCTCTGCACTACGCAGTACACTGGTAAAACTGAAAGCGTAGTTGTGCGCCGCGAGGTCGAATCGCGGGTACGCCGCGTTCTCACTCCCCGGCTGAGAACTTTGAACGTACGCGGTGGCTCACTCTGTCTGTCTGTCTGTCTGTCTGTCTGTCACCCACCAGTGTTCCTTCCTTCTAGGGGCGATTGGCCGGCTCCAGGACCTCGCTGCCGCCGTCGAGGTGACACTGCCCCGCCCTGCAGACTGATTCCGAACGGTCCTGTCTGTCTCGCACGCTTGCGGCACGCCTTACAAGCACGAGAAGAGAGAGGGTGAGAGAGGTCTGTCTGCACCTTGCGAAGCAAGGCCCCGCCGCCGGGCCGCCAGGCCGGGCCGCGCCATTTGGCCGTCTGGCTGTTGGCGTGAGGCGCCGACCGGCCGGCGGTTGAGGTGCTAGGCTAGGCAAAGGCTTCGTCGACGCGCCGCGCCTCGCCTTCCAAGCACAGCCTGGCCCACGGCTTGCGTCACCCGGCCGCTCTCTCTCGCCCGGCCGCGCCCGCGCACCCGCCCCCGTGACCCCTCACGGTGTGACGCGTAAGTGTCGGCTTCCTCGTTGAGGCGCGTGCATGTACTACGTGCGCTGGGCCGGCTGGGTGGTGGTGCGTGGTGGTGCCGGGTGCCGCGATAGTCACGTGGCTCGAGGCTCGCCGAGGCTACACCAGAGAGGACAGAAAGTCCTCTCTGGGCTTTACATTGTGCCCTTCCGCCGTGACGGCGGGCTGGGCGGGCTGGACTCGGGGCGGACAGCTGGACGCGGCCGGCCGTTGGGAAACGGTGCCGGCTTTTGCAAGTTGTCTGCACAGTGGACGCGGATCTAGGCCAGTCGCCCCGGCGGCGTGGCGGCGTGGCGCGGCGAGGCGAGCCTAGTCCAGCCAGCCATCCGGCGAGGGCAAGCAAACGCCCCAGCCTCCCCCCCCCCCCCCCTTGCGACTCCATTATGGCCGCCATGGTGCCGTGGCGCATGGCCATCGTGGCATGGCTGCCTTTGTTCAGTTTCTAGCGGACGGGCCGAGCTTGTAGGCCGTGTGGTTGGTGCTCTGTCTGCCCCCCCCCCCCCCTCTGGGGGAAAGCGCTCCCCGGCCTAAGGACTCGCGGCGCCGGCGTTCCGTGTTTTGCATTTGGCGCCGTCCGAGGCGTCAGGAAGAGACGAGGACCTCGTGGCGCGATGCGCCCTGCCGCCGTGTGCGTGTGCGTGCGTGTGTGTGCGTGCGGAGGACGATGGCCGGAGGAGAGGCGGCGGCACGTGCAGCCACCTGAAAAAGAAGACGGAGTCGAGACAATGCTGGTCTGTGTGCTCGCGTCTTTTCCACCCAGACTGCCCGATTGCGGCCTCGGCCCGCCGGTCGGCCGGCATCCCGTGGGACACGTCGCGGTGGCAGTGCAGGCACGGGCAGGCACAGTGTGAGCGAGCCGTGGCCGCCCGGCGCGACGGCGCGGACTTTGAGTTGAGTGACACGAACGCGCGACGGCGCGGCGGCGCCCGTACAGGTCGTGCAGGCGGTCGCGGCCGACCTAGGCCGACCTAGGCCGACCGCTACCCGGAAGCGCGTTGACGTCGTTGACGTGGCCACCTCGGCGTGCCCTGGTCGGCCTGCCGTCTGATTCCGAACACTGCTTCGTCGCTCTGTCTCTCTCG